TCATCACTAAAACCAGGCGTGCTTCTGCTAATACAGATATTTGTAACAGTTTAAGTAAACTTCAAACTCCAATTTAGTCCCCTCTAATCCATTTAATCTTTCAAAATGAGACAACATAGTGCTCAGTAGATCTCAAAAGCCCTACCATAAAGCTTTGACATGCAACCCCAAACATAACTGATGTAAGTCTGAAATGTTGTTGTTAAGATTTCCCCAGATGCATCCTCCAGGTCTCAGAGCACCTGCCATGTTCCAAATGGGGCTTGAAGAGTCACATCCCAACACCTTTCTTTGGTGACCCCATTTGAGTCCTGGGGCCACCCACATCACAGGTTCATTGGTTTCTGTGCCCTCTGCATAGCTACTCACATCTATGTGAAAAATGGAAGACGCAGCAACCAATCTACACACATCATTGAGATGCTGAAGAAAATAATATTAAAAAGGGAAAAATCCTCATCTGAAACATAAAATGAGTCACTGGGAACCAATTCCTTGTACAAACAAGGAGCTGCAAATGAGTGTCTATAACCCCTGTGATAACAAGATAAGTCATGTTCTGTCTGCTTTCAGTAATGAGCTACAAAGCCTCCACATTTAGTTCCTTGTTTTTTCCCCTTGAGAGGCCTTGAGGGTCTGCCCACTACCTGATCCCAACAACGGCTATTACACGAAAAAAATCAAGAAGGACTACAGAACAGACATGAACTCACAAATGCTTACATCTTCAAGCATGCCATTTGGCTGTGAATATTATTTACATTCACGACTTTTTATGCCTTTCAGTGTTGATTCCAAAACAGAAAGGAAGTCAACAGTGAATGAAATAGTTTCTACAGCAACTTGGCATAACTGTGATAGTACAGAGAACTTGTACCTTCAGTTTCATAAAGCAAACAGCCGTGGCATTAAGATTCCAACATATGAGGGTATGCTGGAATCCAATGGGAAGATTCCAGGCACCTGGCTTCTATGGAGTATCAGCTGTAGCTACTTATGACTACGTGTTCAACCTTCAAAACATCAGAAATTTGTGTACTGCAACAGTTTCCCCCCTACAGTCCAAATTCAAGACCAAAAAAACAACAACAACAACAAAAAATTGGATTTCATGGAAAGGCGATAGAGAACTTGTGTTTAAGTTCTCTCACTTGGAAAAAAGTTGAATAGGATCAGAATGTTTCCTTTTAAACTCAACATCAGTTTCAAGCCTACAGCACAACTATAAATCATCTGCAATAACACCATCAAGAAAAATCACCCAGATAATCTTTCAGCTCAATATATACTTTTTTTTTAATTTTTTTTTTTTTAATAAAGCAGATTTCAGCGCTTCTCTGCACGTATGCCTGAAACGAAGCACCTATACATGCAGGCACTTAGCGAAGAGGTCAATGCAACACAAAGACCAGATTCATTTTCTCAGAATCATTTTCAAGAAATTCAGCAAACTCTACAGGAATTTCCCTCCAATACCTCTCCCCCAGACACAGAGAAATGTTCCTAGGACAATTTCACAAAGAAACAAAAAGGCTGGCAGAATACCATGACCCCAAATACACCCCTCCTCTAACAAAGTACAGGCACAAAGAGGTTGAAAGTCTTGCCACCCAAATGTCTGCAGAAGTGATGTTTTCTGACAGGGTGGCTCAAGCACTTGACAAGAAGCCAGTATTCAAATCCAAGTTTCAGCACCTACCTTTTTACTATTTCCACATTTCTCCCTCTGCACTTCACTTCTAGCTTGGAAGTGGGGCACTTGGAAAGGGGAGGGCAGCTTTACGTCCTTTCTCACTCATCTGACTATAAACTGGTTCCAACAGGAACAGTGTGCTGACACGACATCCACTATTAAATATGACATTACAGTATCATCTACAAACCCTTAATGACACTGAATGACCTGAAAAAGTACAGCCTTCAGATATCAGCAGCCAAACATCGGCAACTTTAACACTATGTCTCCTGTAGTTCTCCAATTATTTCTCACTGAATTCCTGTGGCATGCTGGCATGACGTTGTAAATTTACACATAAAAGATGGAGAAAACAGATGGAGCCCTGAGAACAAAGTTTTCTCACCTGTTATTCTTCCTAAGAAGTTTCTTAAGCTAAGCATAGCAGATCCCTATCCTGGCAATTGGATTCAAATTCAAAGGACATATCATTGTCCCAAGGCAGGCACTCAACTGCCTTTTATGAAGGCATTTTAATAGATAATGATGCACAAGAAATATGTCTAGCTGCTTACCAGCTATTTAAGTGGCATAGGAGAAAGAGAAGCCTGGACAAAACAAAAACAGCACCAAAGAGTCTTCTCTCCTGCCCTTCCCATCCATAAGCGTCAGCTTCCTCCTCTGCACCTGAGGAGGAGGTGGGGCTGGGAACCACTTCTTTCAGGAGTTCCACCCTACTTTACAGATGCACAGATTTCATTAACAACTAACTGGCGACATACAACATTAACTTATTCTGGTATTCATGGCTTTCCATCCACAATTGCTCCACGGAAAGTGACGGCTCAGGGCAATCACTTACAGATATTTCCTGCACCATGACACACTATCCTAGAACTCTGGTTCACTGACTGGTTCATTTTAAAACTACAAAACTGTTAACCAACATTTCCTTTGCAATGTCTAAAATGTGGCAAGCAGACCCAACGCTTACAGATTCCCAGGCTTAACAGCGCGCTGGTGAAAGCACTTTCAGTTTTAGAGTATCATCAACAGCATGAAGTCCTAGGCTTGTTACATGAGTAAACTGGAAGGCTCTTCCAGTGAAAACCATTTCCCCTAAGGAGCTGATGTCACTCCTGCCCAAGTTCTGATAGGTGCTGTGAACAACCTCCAGAGACTCTCCAGACTGTAGAGAGCTCCAACAAGGATGCCTGCAGCAGCCAGGCCCTCTGGGCCTTATTGGTCACTGTTTCAACATACAAATATTTGAGGCAGTGTTTAATGTACAGCAGCTCTCAGAGGTTCAGTGATAATGCAGAGCTTTGTTCCAGTGACTGCTACTTCAACAATAAGCTCCATTTCAGAGGCTGTCCAGTCTCATTTTATCTAATTACTCACCTCTCCTGCAGGAGCAGCGTGCAATTAGGGTTGGCTGATTACGATTTGAAGACACTTGGAAGATTTACTGTGCCACCCAACTGCTAATTATTATTGCTCAGACCTGCATTCATTTGAGAGGAAAATAGCTGTGTGCTAATTTATGTCAGAAACTGTCTCTTGTTCCACATGTGAATGTTAATATCCTTGTTTGCTCAACTCCTTAGGAAGCAAAAAGATAAAGGCTGTGCATCTCTATTTGCACTCCTTCAATGCTGTACTTAACCCATATTTACAGGAACCAAATCCCTGACAGCTGACAAATCCCACTTTAAAGTGAAAACAGCAAAGCAACACGGTCAAACATAACACCTTCCTTCCCGCTGAACCAGCAAATGCAATACCTTTACCTAAAAAAACTGCAGCTCTTCCTAGAGAAGCTGAGACATGAATGCCAACTCTCCATTGCTTTGTATTGATGTTGGCTGGAACTGTCATGCGAAGGCACATTACAAGAATCAGTCCCCAAAACTCAAAGGAGACCTTACTGCTCTCTACTACTCCCTGAAAGGAGGCTGTGGGGGGGTGGGTGTCAGACTCTTTTCCCTGGTAAGAGCAATAGGATGAGAGAGAACAGCCTTAAGTTGTGCCAGGGGAGGTTCAGGTTGGATATTAGGAAGAATGTCTTCTCAGAAAAAACATTAAGGTATTGGAAAGGTAGAAGGTGGTGGAGTCAACGTCCCTGGAAGCATTCAAGAACTGTGTGGATGTAGCACTGAGGAACACGGTTAGTGGGCATGGTGGGGATGAGTTGATGGTTGGACTTCGTGGTCTTAGTGGTCTTTTCCAATCTCAGTGACTCTATGATTATACTGCTTACATTTCAGGGCTACTATAAATGGACATGCTTGTTGATGGAAGGAGAGGTTCTTCTGATGAAGCACAAACACCCAGCGTACAAGCTGCACAGACAGGTGTGTCTGATAGCATGAGGAGTGGTGCCAGAATCTGCTGTAACATACTGCCAAACAAAAGATCTAAGAGCAGATTGACTCTTTCTTCATCAGTATTTCTTGCACAAGAACCAACCCACTGTTGATGTTCTCCCAGCTGTGCTTTTGTCCCAGCCGATTCCAACTCTTGAGAGTGTAACTTCTCTGGAGATGTTCGAGACCCACCTGGATGCCTACCTGTGCAACCTGCTGTAGGGAGCCTGCTTTGGCCGGGCGGTTAGACTCGACCTCTAGATGTCCCTTCCAACCCACACAGTTCTGCGATTCTGTAACCGGGGTCACACTATGGCAGCCAGGCACAGGCAGGAGGGGCACAACCCGAACACGACAGCCTCAGTCCCCAGGAGCAGCCCGATCCTTGGACCTCGTCTCACCGAACACGTTCCATCCCGCCGGAGAGGCGGCAGGACCCCATCACGCTCCTTCGCAGCCCCACGCTCAGGCTCCCTCTTCCCACGCAGATCCATCCGCACGCCCAACCCCACAGATACCCGCTCCCAACCCCGCAGTTTCACGTCTTACATCCACTACGCATCGCGCCCACGGAACCAAACCGGTTCCAGCCGTTTCCCCACTACCCAGGAGGGGAACCGAGCAGCTCCCGGCGGCTCCTAAGAAGTCGCCGCCTTTGTTGCTCTCAACGTGCAACTTCGAGAGAATGACACAATCTCCGACAGGAGAGAAATCACCCCACGCTTTGCGGAGGTGTCGATTGCTGGAGATAAAAACCCGGCGAAACCCACGCTGGTTCTCATCACCGACCAGAAAGTGTTCAGAAAGTGTGAAAGCGTCACGCTGCGAGAGGCTGCGAGCCCTTCTCTCGGGCAGCCCCGGGCCCCCAGCTCCGCCCGCTCCGTACCGGCCCTGGGGAGATCCGGAGGCCCCCTCCATCCTCCACACTCCCGGCCCAGCCTTCCTCCCTCCCTGCGTACCGAAGCGCCGTGCCCAGCCCCGCTCACCGCCGCCTCAGGACCTCCGTGGCCGCCGCCTATGGAGGAGCGCGGGGCGGCCGCCAGCACGCAGCACCATCGCCGCCCGCCCCGACGCTCTCCTCTCCCGCACGGCGCTCATGGGCGGGCGCGGCCGCCTACTCTCCCCGCCCCGCCGCTCCCTGCTTCCCTCCCCCTGAGCCCTCAGGCACCCACCGCGGCCTTCCCGCTCCACTCCGCACCGCCGCCCGCCGAGGACCGCCAGAACGCGGGGAGGCGGCCGCGCAGCCGCCCTCCGCCCGCTCCCTCCCTCCCTCCGTCGCGCCCCCGCGGCGGCGGGACGCTGCCGGCACAGGCCCGGCCCTGCCCTCCCCCTCAGCGGGCGGCTCCGAACTCCTCATTCCCATTCTTTCTTTCTCCAGGAGCGATGTTAATTCTGGCGGTTCCTTGTCGTTGGTCCGACAGAAGGCAGTGCTGAGGGGCGGGCGAACCCAGAAGGGACCCCTCCATCACCACGCATCTCCTGAGCAGCCACGCCACAGTGAAATTATCTTATTATTTTAGGCGTCGATGAGGCTGAGTTGGTTCTGTTTCCACTCCGGATTGAGGCTCCTTGTGCCCAGCCCTCCTCTGCTGCTGCCCCAGGAACCCCATGGGAGTTTCTGTATCCTCTGGGAGGCGGATGGGGGTGGGAGATATGAAAAATCTTCCAGCTGCAATGAATTGCAAACTTGCTTTCTCGAAAATGAACTTTTCTAGAATGAAAGTGGAGAAGAACTGTTTCTAGTTTATTTCTGAAGCTTTTTTTTTTTTTTTTTTTTTTGTGGAAAGAATTGCTTGAGTACAAATAAAAATGTTTTACTGTGACTCTTTCATCGTTACATACACATTCCTTTGCAACAACTGCAGAATGAAAGGCTCAGCATGAGTCTGTCACAAGCAATAGTGTCACTGACTGTGTGCAGGTCTTCATAAATTTAAGGACGAATGGAAGGACTAATTAACATTTTTAAGAGACAGCAGCAATCAGAGTTGCTGTTAGTTTTGTAATTAAGATACTCTTTTCTCATAATACAAGTTCTTGAAGTTGATAACTCCGTAAGCAGCCCAGGGAGCTGGTGCAGTCACTGTCTCTGAGGGTGTTCAAGAACTGTGGAGATGTGGCACTGACAGACATGGTTAGTAGGGATGAATTGATGACTGGTTAATCTTAGAGGTCTTTCCAACCTTGATTCTATGATTCAGTGATTCTATTTACACTTAAAGGTGAACTCAAAATATTGCTGCCCACCTTGTGAACCAGAAGAGAGCTCCTGTTGGTGTCCATACATGTATACATCCACATGGCAGGGCCCACCTCCTACTCCTCCAAGTCAGCTTCTCGGGGAAAGAAGAATTCCTTTACAGATATTGATGAACTTCAGTAGATTTTATCCCAAAATTCTGCTTGCATGCTTCAGATCAACGTATAGTTGAAAACGGCTGTTAATGTGTTATCTGCCTCTTTTGCTGCATTTGAAAATAGGGCATGGAAAGGATTCTATAGGGATGTAGAGTTGTTTGTTTGTTTTCAAAGATACGTTATTACTTGAGGTAAATACAATGACTAAAACAGGACTTATTTTCTACAGATGTGTTAAAGTTCAGCCCATGTAGCAAGGCAGCATTGCCTTCTTGAGCTGGATGTCTCTGGATAAAGCAGTCTCCTCCCCAGAATGTCACCTCTCTTAAAAGACTGCAAATTTGATTGCAATTTACTTTCCTCTAAACAAGATTTAGTTCCTTGTTCTTCATCCTGCTAATGGGCATCTGCTTGGGACTCTGTTTTCCTCTGCCTTGTAAATCTATGTGAATATCTTCACAATTATCTCACTAGACTACTTAATTTTATTTCTTTTTAATTAAATACCTTCAACAAGGAAACTTGGGGCCTAGGATCAATGAAAAGCGTAATTTCCATCCTCACCTACCGTGCATTTTACAGGAATGCAAATACATGAAAAGCATTGCCATCACTTCAGAGATTCCTTGCACCACTAAAATAAAGACATCACATACTGTGCACAAAGACTGACGCCTTAGACTGTCTCCACTGCTGAAAAATGGAATGCCTTTTGTCAGTATGGTAATACTGCCACTTTCTGTGAGTGCTGTGTATGTTTACTGACACACCAACACTTAACTTCACGTATTTCTGAGTGTAACATTTTCTTCTGATGCTCATGGTAAGTTTCCATGTTAGCCACACCTACAGAACTTAAACTTTTCTTTTGCATAGAGTGTCTGGCAAATAAATATACTCCAATTATTCCACCTCAAACTATTGCATCATTTACTCAAAGCTTTTCCTTAGGGAAAAAAGAATAAATCACGTTATTTGCTCTTCTTGTTGAAGCCTCTTTAATAAACAGGTATGCCTTCATGTGTGTCTAAATGGGAGATTCAGGAGAACCTCTGTGTTCCTGTATTGGGATACATGCCTGGCCACACCTTGGCTGTATACGAGGAGAAAATCTGTACATAAATCAGCACACTCCCTTAATCTTGTGCTTGTGGGTAACTGAGAAGTCAAAAATGGTGTGGCACACTCCTGTGCTCTTTTGGAGATGGATTGGAGGAAGACTTGGTCTAACCATTCACACTTCATGATGAAGGAAAACCATTTTAAATAAAAAGGGAAATTCAACTCAGCTGCATCTTAGGGCAATTCACACACAAGGCACAAAAAGCACCTTCCTTTTGGTTTAGATTCTATTAGGTGTTGTCCTAGTATTATCTGAAAGATCCTAAAGAACTGAAATCAGTCACTCTGAAAGAAGAAGCAAGGAGAAATACATACCAGAAAAATTAAAACTCTCAGAAAGATGAAAATCCAACTGCAGCAACTGTCTGGGGTTTTCAAAAGTGACAATTTATCCTGGGCACCTCCTAATCTTGGTGGGATGTATTTTCCAAAAGCAGATGAGAATGCTGCCTGAAGTTTGGCAGCTTGATGCACAAATCCCTTTCCAAATGTTAACCATGTTTGTATTCCATGGCTAAGTGACAATGAAGGGACACTGCTACAAACACATGATGAGGGTGAATGCCAGTAAAGAAGGAAAACTCCAACCTGTAAGAAAATCCTTCTGGTAGGAAAGCGACTGTGAGAGTTCAGGTGTGCTCACAAGCTGTGTGTCAGTACAACCACAAAAAAAAAGACTCAAAACACGTTTGGGGTTGTAGTTATGTACACACCAGCCGAGAAAGGAGAAAAAAAAAGAGAGATTTCACTAGAAAGATCCATCCTACAGTAAGACTTCTGGCTCTCAAGGGTAATCTGCAAGAAAATCTAATTTACAGAAGCTAATTAGCTTTAGATACTTAAAAGCAGACTGGTTGAAGCAGTAGTAAATAGACAGTATAGAATAATCCTGCCCAGACAGAAACTGCTTGTTCCAACAGGTCTTTTCTGTATTCAGCTTTGGAGTCAATCTTAATGAAGGTTTTGTTTGGGAGTATTACAGTCAAGAGTTAAATCAGAGAAGCGGAAGAGAGACATTAAAATGTATAAGGAGAGTTGGAGAAAAGGGGTTGTTTTTATTTCAGATTTGAAATTAGATGAAGGGTCACCAAGGCTGGGAAATACACAAAGGCTGTCCCAGGATCCAGCCTCTTCAGAAAAAAAGGGCTCTCGCACCAACAGTAGATAGATTGTGTGGAAGGACAGAGCAAAGTCTAGACAAATGAGTGGTGTGGGGAGAAAAGAGACCTTTTTTCCAAAATGTCCGCATTTCTATAATTCCATAATTGATGTCTTTCAGCTGGCCAATTTTTAAAGGCCAGACAGACAATTTGGAAGTTGAATATTCTTTTGCTGCAGCTGTCTGAAATCTGAAAGTACTGCATTTATCTTTAATGAATTCATTGCTCTACTGCTGTGTCTCAACTTAGCATCATCCTATGTTCAAGGGACGGATTGTGCAACTCTTGTGGAACATGTTAAGAGTTTCCTACTATCTTAAACTGAGAATGACTTGGCTTGTGCCAATGGCAGCTTCATATTTGCAGCACTCCCATGCCATCAAGAAAGCCACTTACCTGTTGGCAATTCCTATAACTTGGTGGCCATCCTTACTTCTGTTTTTGATGTCATGCAATAGAAGTTGCACAGTGATAGTTTCAGTAAGTTGCTGTCTGCAGGCAAACAAACTGATGCTGATGAATCCAATCTACAATCTTGATTTTCTAAGCTCCTAAAAAAATGATTATAAGCCAAATTTCTTACACTGTTCCTTAGGGATCACCCATTTTTGCTATTTTGACATGTGCATGTCATATGCCTGATCTTACATCCAATTGTCAGAGGTGGCAATTGGATATATTTTCATGAAAAATTAGCAAAAACTGTAAAAAGAAACAACAGCAAATGAAGTAAATACAACTCAAAGGTGTTTTTCTTCAGAGCTTTTTTTTATTTTTAAACCACGGATTCTCTTCATTGTTATCTAAGATTGTTTTTGCAGTTCCTGTCTATTCTGTATGCTTTTTATATTCTCAGTGCCATCTTTTCATGGGCAAAACTGGATCACATCAGTTTTTGGTAGCAGCAGGGCGTACATAAACAGCTGAGATTTCAGGTGGTAAAAGGATAAATTGGTAAACATGAAGAAGTCCATGGATGAAAAGAGCACGATAGGAGACACAGATCCAGCATTTAGTTGGATCACTAAATGCTTAAAAACAACCAGCAATAAAAGGCTGAATATCGATTGCAAGGAAACACAGTGAGAGAATTCAGAGAGTGAAAGAAGTGGACTGTCTGTAAAAACTGCTGAAAGAGCTACTGCAAATTCAAAAGAAAAAAAAATTAAGAAAATACATCTAATACTGTACTATCCTTAATGTTCCCAGAATGCACTTCCATACTAAGAGAAATCCCTTCTGTTTATCTGTAAAAATCCAAAGGTTATAATTCTCATCACATATGCTGCTATTCACAGTTCCACCAGAGTATTCATATAGAAATCGGAAGGATTACTCCAGATTTACACTAGTGTTACAGTGACCACAATCTGACTCTAGAAGGGACAATTCTTGTTAACTCAGGCTACAAACTACTGCCATTTTGCATTTCTACTGCCATTTGCCATAACCAGCTG